TACAAATCCATGTAACAGTCAACCAATTACAAATCCATGTGAACCATGAGAATGCAAATACAGTCAACAACAATTTCTTGCAGTCCATGGCATTTCCTCCTTCTGTCTTGACACTTAAGAGTTATTTGCATAATCAAAATATGCTTTGTGCAGTCTTTTTGTAATCCATTTATATTCCAGAAAGAATGTGGTATGCTGTATGTGCCTTCAAATCACCTATTTTGTTGTGACCCCATGAATTTCATAGGATTTCATTAGGTGAAGACTACTCAAAGGTGATTTTGACAGTTCCTTCCTCTGAGTTATAGCCTGCGGTATCTGGTATTCCTGGTGGTCTCCCATCCAAGTACTAACCAGATCTGACCATGCTCAGGTTCCAAGATGATATGCAATCTGTTGACTTTACAGTATTAAGGCCCAGAAAGAATACTATTTCCCAATAAATCATTTGGGATTAAATGTCAACATGAACATGTTTTCCTTTTGAAATTTTATGGACTGTGGAAAGTTTCAGGTATTGATTTTCAACCCACAGCTCCAAGTCTTCAATGAGATTCTGTTTGAGATTTTTTTTTTTTAAAAAAAGAATGCATTCAACAAAGAGAAAAAAGATCTCTACAAATGCATTTTCTTTGTTGACATTGTTTTACTCATCTATAGGCTCTCATTGCATCAAACTGTTTCTTGAAGGCCACAGAAGTGGCTATTTTGAGAAGTTTCCAAGAGAGTGCTAATGGAAGTTGCAGCAGGGGGGAGATTTTGCTTCAGAACAACTGCTGAGCAAAGAAATGTGTGCAAGCCCATCACAACAGCAATACCTTCCTCCATGCAGAAATGCCATTAGAACTGGATCTTTAAACAGAGTTTAGACAAAACCCACAGAGGAGTTTATCACATGGGATGGATCCTGTGAAGAAACTGGATTTAAAGTGAAAACAACCCACAAAGGTGGGTTGTTTTCCACACAACATTTGGGGTTATCCAAAACAGAAAGTAGAAATAACCTGCAAAAGCAGGTTGTTTTTCACATGACATTGGCATGAAGGAGAAATAACACATCATTAATCCAAACAGAAAGTCACCAAAACCCACTCCTTTTTACTTTCAGGAACTTCTAAAAGTAAAAAGGAGCAGGTTTTGGTGACTTTCCATTTGGGTTAATTTTGTGTTATTTCTCCTTCACACAAACACTTCTGCAAAACAATCTGCTTTCGCAGTTTTTTCGGATTTTTAAATCCTGTTTCTGCATGGGATTTAAGCAATTTGCTTCTGTGTGATAAACTCCAGAGAAGACATCTTTCAGTAGCATGGGATATGCTGTGTATTTCAGACACAGCCCATGAAACTCTGACCAGATATTGAGGTAAATGGAGAAGAAGAACCTTCTTGCTACTTCTAACTGATCCCAGACTGTGGGGCTCCTTTCCCAGGAAGGCAAAGTTAGGTTGGTTACCTCCCTTTCATCCTCCTGCCAGCCAAGACCTATTTCTTTTTGACAATGAATAGGTTGCCAAGGATGTAATGTGCCTAGTTTTTATTCATGTACTTTAAAAATTGTTTTTAATGCAGCCATGTTTTCGTACGTAAATTTGTTTAATTATAACTTTTTAATATAAATACCTTGGGAGTTTTTATCTGTACTGGGTAAACTTGTGAGTCTCCTTGAGCAGGGGTAGGCAACCTTTCCCCTTTAGGGGCCGAGGGACTTCAGCTCCCAGAAGCCTCAGCCATGTTGGCCAATAGTCCCACTTTGGCCAATAGCTCCTGGGATTCTGGGAGCTGAAGTCCCTTGGCCCTTAAAGGGGAAAGGTTGCCTACCCCTGTCCTTGAGTTCCCGTTTCGGTTGAAATGTAGACTATAAATCAGATAAATACATCACTTAGTAAAACAAGTCAAGTATGCCTATAAAAGTAGTGCTAGCTCCATGTTTTGAGGTCCTTTGAGTACTCTCTCCTACTCCAGTGGCAGGGAAACTTTCCCCTTTAAGGGCTGAAGAACTTCAGCTCCCAGAATCCCAGGAGCTATTGGCCAATGTGGGACTATTGGCCAACATGGCTGAGGCTTCTGGGAGCTGAAGTCCCTCGGCCCCTAAAGGGGAAAGGTTGCCTACCCCTGCCTCAGATCTTTAGCCATTGCCCAGTAGCAGCTGATGGCTTCAATCCAAACTTTAAATGAGCTAGATGTTGGACTCTAAAGAAGTTAGTCCAGCACCTTCGAAAGAACCTTTGAATGTTCTGAAACTCAGAGCAGATTCAGCACCCTGCTGACATCACAGTCACCAGCTGCCATTGCCTCTTTCTCTTTGGACCTAATTGGCATCACCACCTAGAAAGAGCCATGTGGTCTGATAAAGAGTGTGAAGATTGTGGCTTTGTTTTCTTGTTTTTCACTGTTATGTCCTCTTTTTGAAGGGGAAGGCCAAATTTCCTCTGCTACTTGAATTGCATAGGAGTACACTGTACGGTGTAGTTCAAAAATGTTTTGTTGACAGTTGCAGACTGTGTTAGCACTTCAGAGGCCTCATTATATATCAGGTATAAGGCTAGTCTTATTCCTTCTCCAACTCAACAGAAAGAACCCTTCCAGTAGATCCAGTGTGTGTGGGAGGGTCCATGCCTTCAAGTCACCTGTTGATTTATGGCAAACCCATCAATTTCATAGGGTTTTCTTAGCCAAGGCATACTCAGCAGTGATTTTGCCAGTTGTTTTCTTTGAAATATAGCTGATGGCAACTGGTATTCATTGACAGTCTCCCATCTAAGGTACTAACCAGGGCTGACCCTCTGAAGCTTCCAAAATCAGATGGGATTTGGTGCCTTTAGGGTATTTAGGCCCTTGAGTACTCAAAGACATCTTCACCTTGTGGCAGGATACTTCCCCTTGCAGAATCTAGGAAACTCCTACACCCCTAAGCTGACTAGCTCTGGGAAATGTTCCCCTAGCTATTGCCCATATTGCATCAAAAGAGTCCTGGGGATGCTGAGTTATATCCACCTGGAAGCTTGGAGTAATTTCTGGCCCCACTTTTACCAGGTGGATTGCTGGACAGAGTCTCATACTGGCCAATATGCCAGTACAACCAAACTAATTGTTTCTGCTATCTTCTCCCTTTTCCCCTACTCAATGTGGTTATCAATGACAAGGCTGCTTTCTGCTGCTTCCATCATCTTCCAGCTGTTGCTGAATAGCCTGTGCAGAGCAGCAGCCAGTTTTCTTCTAACCTGGTTGTTCCTACTGCTTCCTTCTTACCAGGAGAGAAGCCTTACCTATGTTTCCAGGCTCCACCATAAAGGTATACGCAGTTGAGTCCCTTTAATTCTGTGGTTCTCAGTTTTTAGTTCTACAGATGCTTTATATCCCACTATTCTTGTGCACTGGCCATATTGGCTCAAGCTTCTGGGAACTAATCTGGATAACACTGGGTAGCTTTTTGAAGTTTAGATTAAGACCAAGAATACTTCATCAGCCCACTGACCTCAGAGCCACCAGCTAGATGAGATGGCAGTGAAGGTTGCCAGGCCCAAATCCAGAAATTAACTCCAATTGTTTCTGCTGGAGCATGGCCTCAAATTATGGGGAACTGTTAAAAGGCTCATATTAAA